CCCCCCCCCACACACACACACACAGAGACACTTAAATATGAGCACAGACACACCCCTTCTCATCTCACTCACATCCTGTGAGACCCTTTCAGCAGAAAGCTTCAATAAAACTCACTCTGGGACCAAAGAAACGTTCTTCAACAAACAAGTGATGATCAGGTGTTCACCTGTAAGTCTTCAGGGGGAGGAGCCTCAGCGTCAGCCTCCTGTAGCCTCATCTGCTTGAATGAGCGTTTCGTCTCCTCTGGGGCGGAGCTAAACTTCCTCTCCTCCGCTCGCTGCTTCTTCTGAACATCACACAGATAAACATTCACAGACGAGCAGCTTTTATTATGAAAATCACTTCTGGTTTAAAAACACTGATTTGAGACCAGCTTCAATCCCTTTCAGAATAAAAAGACTCTCACGAGTCACTGAAACGAGGAAACTGACTTTCCACAATAAGGCAACTAAATACAAAAGCTTACATAAATCACTTTTAAATAGATAAACGTTACCAACACTACAAAAACTAACTGGATAAAGTTGATGATAATTATACATATCTTACTTTACAAGCTATATAATTATTGATTAGCTTTATATTGCTTGTTATGAGTCTTTTTTCTTCTATACTATCGATAATCATGAAACCGTGATATTTCCTCTAATAATCGTTTCACTACTTTCAACATTTCATAACAAATGTGATGATTCTGGTCACGATAAAACTTTTTTTTCACTCTGTTTCATGTCTAAAATTATTTGACAGATAAACTCACTCTGGCCCATCGCTGCTGAGCGCTCAGAGGTTTCCTCCTGCAAGACGGAGCCGAGGGAAAACTGCTGCTGATGTTCAGACACAGCTGGTCGTCTGCTGATGACATCATGCACACACCTGAAAGAGAGACAGAGAGAGACACACACACGCACACATTAGAGACGTGTTTGTGGTTTTTACCTATTAGTTTGTATGTGTGTATGTGTGTTTGTGTGTATGTGTGTTTGTGTGTATGTGCATTTGTGTGTTTGTGTGTATGTGCCTTTGTGCGTTTGTGCGTATGTGTGTACGTGTGTTTGTGTGTATGTGCGTTTGTGTGTATGTGTGTTTGTGTGTATGTGTGTTTGTGTGTGTGTTTGTCAGCAGAATTAACACACTTCCAGTAACAGTGATGTGAGTCAGAGACCTGAACATACGACTCAGTCACTTTAAGTTAGAATCAGAGACCATGAGAATAAAGTGATGATTTGTTCTACGTGTGATGTCAGAGGGAAACATCTTCTGTCTCTGAGTTCAACTGAAGAACAGGAAGCATCTTAGTTTCAGAAAGAAACTAAATCCTTGACGTTGTGTCTCATCAGCTCCACGTGGTCGTCAGTATCAGGACTTTGTGTCTGTCTGCCAGACTTCCTCCACAGTTTGTCTTTCACACAGCACAACAAGTCCTCTGCAGGATTCAGGTGAGGACTTGTGAGTATGGTCATGTGCACCTCGGGCGAGAGCATGGAGGAGAGAGTTTGTGAAGTGTATGTGTGATATTGGGACATTTACACTGAATGGAGTAAATGAGTCTGTTTCTATGGGGGTTTGTATTTATATGCCCCCCCCCCCATCGTAGTGGTGAGGAGATACTGAAGGACTTTTCATTTTCAGTGAACTATCCCTTTAATCATCCAAACTTCAGTTTGAAGTTCATCTAAAGTAATCAC